AGAAGGGAGCTCCATGGGGGGCTCCAATGTGGGGCTTGATTCCAGGACCCTGAGATCATGACCTGACCCGAAGTCAGGCATTTAACCTACTGAGCCACTCAGGCTCCCCAAGGAGACAGGCTTTTTAAAGAGGTCAAATAAGTTGTTCAGGATCATCTAAGAAGTAGTGGAATGGACTTTGAATCTAGGCCTATCTGATACCAAAACTTGAGTATTTTTTTACAAAACTATATTTGCTTTCTAATATCTATTATTTATAAGCATTTGACATTTTTTTCAGAGTAGTAATAAATAGCTACTGACTCTTTAGAAGGAATTCTTACATTTATGAATATTTTACTTTGTGGCAGCTAATAAGAATTTATTATGTGGCTAATCAATAAATAATTGCTTTTAAATAATGTTAGAATTTTAAAAGGTCACATTTTTATTTTGACAACTTTAGTTTAAAAGTTTTCCTTTAGAAATTTAATTTAGATGCTAGGGGCACCTGGGTGGCTCAGATGGTTTAAGCGTCTGCCTTGGGCTCAGGTCATGATCCCAGGGTCCTGGGATTGAGCCCCGCATCAGGCTCCCTGTTCAGCAGGGGGCCTGCTTCTCCCCCTCCCTCTGCTTCTCCCCCTGCTCATATTCTCTTTCTCTCTGTATCTCTCTGTCTCGAATGAATAAATAAAAAAAACCTTAAAAAATTAATTTAGATGCTAAAAATTCATAGGCAATTTTGAATACTGATTTCAAATTCAGGGATTTTTGTATTTTTCCTCAAATTGAAAATAGCTTTATTGTTTTGTTTTAATTATAAAAATAGGAAATGCTTAGGGCACCTGGGTGGCTCAGATGGTTAAGCGTCTGCCCTGGGCTCAGGTCATGATCTCCAGGTCCTTTGGGGAGTCTGCTTCTCCTTTTCCCTCTGCTGCTCCCCCTGCTTGTGCTCTGTCTCTTTGTCTCTCAAATGAATAAATAAAATCTTAAAAAAAAATAGGAAATGCTTCTTATAAAAAATTTTCAGAGAATACAGAGTAGTATAACAAAGAATGTAAAAATAATTTATAATCCCATTATTCAGAATTAATCACTGTTACCATTTTAAAGCTATGCCTTTCAAATTTTTTTCTCTCTGCATTCATTGTGTGTGTCGTGTATCTGTGATTTCTTTTTGATCTAAAATGATCATATTTCAGGAAAAAAATTTTTTTACTGAGACAGGCCGAAAACACTCTGGTTTTTTTTGCTTCATGAGTGAATTGGCAATTTGGATGGCTTTTTCCATTCTCACTTAGCTGTATCGTATTAGTATACTAATCAGCACAGGGTGTACTTTAGAACACTTCAGTGAGCTAATGCCTTTTCAAATGTGTTTATGTAGTAACCAATCAGTCTGTATTTTGATGATTAATAAAGTACAGTTTGGAGCTCAGAATTTTTTCCTGTGTATGAGATTCCCACCCCCACCCCCAGCCCTGGGGGTCCTAAAAATTCAACTGAATTATCTTTTTTCTTCAGATTTTTTTTATTATGTTATGTTAATCACCATACTCAACTGAATTATCATTAAACATTAACTCTTCATTATTGATGGTATGTATTTTATTTGCTTCCTCTAGCAAAGTGTCTTCAACCTTATCTGTAAGTAGGATGGGTGTGTAATTTTTCACTCAACCTGGACATTTTTGAGAATGAAGATTTAAAATTCTGGAAGTTTTTTGAAATATATTTTTTTGGCCATCAAAATGATTTCATTACATTGGTAGATCAGTATAGTAGTTCTAGTCAAACATGATTTTCAAAAATAAAATTTACTAAAACATGCTATATTATAACAAAATTAAGTCTTTATATTGATTATCACAATATTAAAAAACACATACAGAATAATAATTTTTGGTATCATATTTTCTATCAGTTTCTTAGCCATACCTGTCTCTAATATTGTGTCACTAATACTTTTCTGAACAGTGTAATTATTTTTCAGTCTAGTTTAACTAGTTTAAATTTTTTCATGAAATTGTCTGTTGTAGTTTTCAGAGTTACGTATTGGGGTTTATAGTTGTTAACCTTTACAGTTTATTCTCTGTAACCAGTAATATTTTTAATTGCTAGTATAATCTATTTGTTGTGATGTACCTGGTTAGCTCAGGAAAAAATTTGCTAAATGGAGAATATTCTTAATTCTCATTTTTTTGTTATTGAAAATTATAAATTTGTCAGCCCCAATATTTTTACAGGTTTTTTTTTTTTTTGCCTCTGTTAAGGTACTCTTTTTGACAAATATTTTTATAAGATAAATCTTGTCATAAAAGTTGTCCCTATTTATGATTATTTTACATGTTCCACTAAATTTAAATGCCGCAAAATTGTAGGCTTTCTGTAATTTCATTTCATTCCAGTACCAGTGTCAAATACTTCTTCCACTACTTCACAAGGTTATAAGGAGTTAGCTGTCTCAAGTTGCTTGTGTCTGAGGATACTTTTCAGTGAGTGTTCTGCATGCTGTTGTTGAAAAGAAGGTGTGATATTGTATCTGTGAAGAATCAGGAAAAGAAAGATGGAATTATCACTAGTCCTCTTTCAGATTTCATGGCTTGTTCAACTGGATAAAGCACTTACACTACTAGTTGATACCTTGGCCAAAAGTTAGATGTATATAGTAGAGGTATACTAAATCCATTGTAGTTTATTTTAATGTATTTTAATATAGTGACTAGTAATAATAGTTCATTTAAGAAAATGCAAAATCTGAGGCAAATGGTAAACTGAATGGTATGCTGGGACAACAGATTGTAAATTAAGACTGTCCTAAGCAATCCAGGGCATGTGGAAAGCAGCATGGTATTGTGAAAGAGCATGGAACTTGGAGTGGAATAGACCTGCATTTAACTCTGGGCTTCACCATTTAACAACTTGGATAAGTAAGCTTTTCGAGGTTAGGTGTGTGAGGGTTTTTCAGAGAAGCAAAACCAACAGGATAAACACACACACACACATACACTGATTGATTTTAAGGAATTGGCTTATGTGATTGTGGGTGCTGGCAAATCCTAAATCTGTAGGGCAGGCCAGCAAGCTGGGGACCCAGGGAAGAGTTGATGTTGCTTCTGAATCTAAAGGCTTTCTGGAGGCAAAATTCTTTCTTCCTCAGGCAGGGTACTTCAGTCTTTTTTCTTAAGGCCTTCATCTGGTTGGATGAGGCCCACACACATTACTCAAAGTCTACTGATAGAAATTTTAATGACATTAAAAAAAATACCTTTAGGGTAACATCTAGATGGGTGTTTGACCAAACAACTGGGTTAGCCTAGCCAAATTGACACATACAATTAACCTTCACATTAGGTTTCCTAATTTGCAAACTGGAATGATACTATGTGGCTCACAAGGATACTATGGCTCACACTAGTTTTCTTCATTTGCAAACTGGAATGATACTATGTGGCTCACAAGGATTATTAGCATAATGTGTTCTCAAAGTTGGCACTCAATGAATGTTGATTCCTTCCTTCCTTCCATCCTTCCTTCCTTCCTTCCTTCCTTCCTTTTAGATTTTACTTATTTAGGGGCGCCTGGGTGGCTCAGTTGGTTAAGCAGCTGCCTTCAGCCCAGGTCATGATCCTAGGGTTCTGGGATGGAGCCCTGCATCGGGCTCCTTGCTCAGCAGGAGCCTGCTTCTCCCTCTCCCTCTGCTTGCCACTTCCCCTGCTTGTTCTCTCTCTCTCTGGGTCAAACAAATAAATAAAATCTTTAAAAAATTTATTTATTTATTTATTTGACAGAGCATATGAGTGTGGGGGGCAGAGGGAGAGTGAGAAACTAAATGTTGATTTCTTAATCCGGTTTTATACCCATTAAGGCTATAGGTACAACCTTGATGCTTGAAGATTTTTTTCCTGTTTATCTTTGTATTTCTATCTAAGCCTCTCTTGCCCCCTCATCTACTTAATAAGTCCGGTCAAATCTATCTTACAAACATTTATTCAGACCATACCCTTCTTTTCTGGCATTGCCAATGTTCAGATCCTCTACTGGGCCCATTAAAATGATTTCCTAAGTAGCCTTCTACTTTCCATCCTATTTTTCCTCTTCACAAGTAATCAACTAGACCTAATACTATGTTATTAACTCTTGAATCTGTCCCTTTGTCCATTCTCATTTTCTTTACTTTTGGCATGTCAATCCCTTCTTAAGTTGTCTTCTACAGAACTTCAAAATCTTATCTCCACAAGTCCTATCACCATTCAGAACTCCTCATTATTTTCAAACGTAACTGAGCTTTCTGTTGATTGCATGCTTTGTGCATGCTCTTACCTCCATATAGAATCACCCTCTCCCCTTCCGCATTCCTGCACTGATGTTACTTCCATGAAGCCTTCTTGGACTCCCTTCCTGGTTCCAGAGCACTCTTACACGTTCATGTCCAGGTGAACTTGAGCCTTCAGACATTGATATTCCTAAGCTGCCTTTCACATGAGATAGTAAATCTGTTTATTAGCTGACCAAGGGAACCCTTTGAACTGTGGTATGAATTGAATGGCACTCCTTGCCTACAAGTGTTTCAGGTCTGATGATATAAATGTAATCTTTTTGTATATCAGTTTATGTATTCACTCGATTATTTTATCAAAATGGTTTTTGAATTGTATTCATAGGGACCTGGACACTTGGGTAGAAGATGAATGCTGAAGGCTTTGGGCCTTTCACCTATCTTTAACCAAAGCATTTCACCCCTAATTTGTTATATGTTGGGTTTCTTGGTAAAATTTTATATGAGGAAAAGAAGTTTTGATATCAAAAATAATTTTAAAATTCTTGTTTTATTTTGTCTGCTTGATTCTTAATATATATGTCTGCTTTTATTCACTTTCCTTTCCCCCTCGAAACTAAACCAAACTTTTTGAAATCAAGGATATTTTACTCTTACTCATCGTTGTTTCTCAAATATCTGTTGAAAGAATGCAAATATACAGATTATTGAATAGCATTTAATTTTTAATTATTTATTTTAGTTATCAAGTGGGAATCCTGTATATGAAAAATACTACAGACAGGTAAGATTTTTGTTTCTTTGTTGTCCTAGATTGAATATAAAAATATTTTCAACTCTTGATGGTATATTTGCAGATCACCAGCCATCTCAACACATTTGGTGTGTCTTGTTTTCAATTTCTTGTGCTTTAACCTCCTGCTTAATGCTTTTGACAAGCTATCAGAAAATGAAGGAAAGAGATATTTAAGCCCAAACACTTAATTGCTTAAATGTCTGTCTACCCGTATTATGTATACCATTACATATGTTATAAAATCCATGTAACATTAGATATACTAATGTAGATACAAATATCCAAATTAATTTTAAGCCAAATAGAAAAGACTCTTCTGGTTTTTTGTTTTGTTTTGTTTTTAAAGATTTTATTTATTTATTTGACAGAGAGAGAGAAACCATGAGAGAGGGAATACAAGCAGGGAGAGTTGGAGAGGGAGAAGCAGGCTTCATGTGGAGCAGGGAGCACGTGGGGCTGGCTCCCAGGACGCTGGGATCATGACCTGAGCTGAAGGCAGATGCTTAACGCTGAGCCACCCAGGCGCCCCTTTTCTGTTGTTTTTAAGACTTACTAAAGTTTAGGGATGCCTGAGGGGCTCAGTTGGTTAATTGGTTGGCTCTTGATTTCGGCTCAGGGCATGATCTCAGGATTGTGGAATCGAGCTCTTCCCCTACCCCCACCTCGTGGGGCTCCATGCTCAGAGTGGAGTCTGCTTGTTCCTCTCCCTCCACCTTTTCCCCTCCCCTCCCTCATGCCCTTTCTCTTGCATGCATGCTCGCCCTCTCAAATAAATAAAATCTTATTAAAAAAGACTTAAGTTTAATTTTCACAAAGTTAAAACTATGATTTTCATACAAATATGAAATGAACATGTGTCAAGGATTTTATTTACCTCAATTAATTACTGGAAGAACCAGTAAGACATAAAAATGAGCATATGAGTTGTAGAGATTTATATTCTCCACCAGACAAAATTCATTTATTGGTATGGACAGGAATCATTGCATTGCCATCAGTTTTCTATAATTTAACTTATATTCCTACTAGGGTAAAAGAGCCTAGTCAATAGAAAGTCAATCAGGGGTGAATACATCAAATCTCTTGAGGGTATAGACTATCTCATTTGCCCATTTCCAAATACTGGATCATTTTTCCTAACAATCTCCTCACCTGTGATCATGATCATAGAAAAGGCTATAATTTGACCTGGCTATTTACATAATTACAGCAAGTTTATTAATGAACCATTGTAAGTCTCCTTGGGTATGACTTGCAAATCTACAGACATATAGTCACTATTTAACAACTTCTGAGCCTGGAGAATTAGTTTCTACCTGAAATTTCTAAAGAATCTTGGATTGTACTTTTTAAAGCCTTTGCTGTTTTTCCTCTATCTTGCGACCAGGACCCAAACCTTAGAAATTCTTTCCCCCATATTTCATCTGCAGCACATATAAATTTGAATGAATTTATCTCATCTTGAGGTTTCCCATATCTGCTAAGGTTCCTAGCTTGCTAAGTGACCTTGCTTTACTATCTCTGAGTCTGGGACCTTATAAACCAGGTTGCAGGCCCTTTTTCTTGGGAGGGCTTTCTAGACATTGTCTCTGCATAAGTCAGTCCTTTTTCCTTAATAGTGGCTTTTTCTTTCTGAATAAAAGATACCTATTCTCACATAGGCCTTATTTTTTCTTAAGATTTTATTTAATTATTTGACAGAGAGAGACAGCGAGAGTGGGAACACAAGCAGGGGGAGTGGGAGAGGGAGAAGCAGGCTTCCCACTGAGGGGGAGCCTGATATGGGGCTCGATCCCAGGACCCTGGGATCATGACCTGAGCTGAAGGCAGACGCTTAATGACTGAGCCACCCAGGTGCTTTATTTTGTGCAGTTTATTTATTCAACTATATCCTGAGAAAAAGAAAAAATTAACCTGTTAATAACTATATTGCCATAAAAATAAGGACATTCCATTGAAAGATTTGTTTTTGAGTTCTGAAAGGTCAGTGAAAATCAGATACCATTGAAAGCTATTTCATTCAGTTTACAAAGCAGAGCCTACTAAATTGAGGGTTAAAAATAACATAAGGAGAAAAAAAGAAAGGGCTTTTCTACATATCCATTAGAAAACAGAATATTAAAAATAATACCAATAGTATTCCAAGTTAATAACCATAATTAAATATTCCTCAACAGTTTATTCAGTCCTGTGTAATTAATTCTTCTTCCCCTGAATCTTGGGTGAGGAGTCTGATTTCATGAAATAAAACTACTTCTGGACTGCATAGTCCCAGATATTCTTTCTGACTTAGTTCACCAGTACAGTCTGAGAGTTGTCTAAAGTGATATCAGCTCAGAAGTCTTTATATAAAAGTCTATGTTTTGAAGGGTTAATAATTCAGATTATGTGGGATAGTTCTTTCCATGAGGCTCTGAAACTGTCTTTCTTTGTCTTTGATGAAGACACAGATTCTAACCTGTAGCTTATGGCAGAGCGAGCCTTTGGGCAAGTGTCAGAGTATAACAGAAACTCCTGTACATGATAGAGACTAAATGACTGTGTTTTAATTTATTATAGTAACCAAAAGAATGGAAGATAGTAAAATTGGAATATGATACATAAATATTTCATGAGCGTTTGATCAGTGTTTCCCTTGATGGTCTTTCTGTTTAGGTCATGCTAGGGATAATGTCCCCCCACCCCAACCCCCCAGTCAGGGAGTAGGCAAAGAAGAAGGAGTTCTGCAGATTTTTAGAGGCAGGTTTCTCAACCCTTTTTGTACTTCCTTGTTACCCCAAATTTGGATTGGGCAATTTTTTCTTTTTTGCTGAGTGCCTGATTTGTCCAATATTCCTTTGAAAGAAAGGATTGCTCTTTTGTGTCTTTGCTGGGATTGGCCTGTCTGAAATGCTTTGTGTATGTTTACAACAAAATCTTTTAACTAAACTGGAAAAACAGCTAGCTCACAAATATCCTTGAATCATGTTACTTTTCCCATGACTTTTTTAAAATTTACTTTTCATTTTTACAAACAATTTTACTTTAGGAAATTTTTACAGAAATGAAAATCATTTTTTTTTAGCTATTTTTCTGTTTTAAAGGAAAATCCCTATCAATTAAAATGATGTGTTTCTGTTAATGTGCTTTAGGAACTTAAGAATTATTAAAATGTTTCCTGAAGATTATTATGGAATCACTGCTGGTTTTAGAGCTGATACAGCTTTGATTTTTTTTTTAAGTGTTGCAGTTTCTAAGAATAAGTATAAAAGGAGAAGTTAATGATTTAAAGATGTTTGAAAAAAACAGATAACATATACAGCTATTCCCATTTGTCAAAAGACCTCTCCAGGAAATGCTGCCCTTTTCCTCCTGTTACTATTAAGTTTATTAGAATTTATTTATTTATAAATTTATTTGCGAGAGAGAGAGCATGAGCAGGAGGAGGAACAGAGGGAGAGGGAGAAGCAGACTCCCTGCTGAGCAGAGTCCGATATGGGGCTTGATCCCAGGACCTTGGGATCATGACCTGAGCTGAAGGCAGACGCTTAACTAACTGAGCCACCCAGGTGCCCCGAATTTATTAGAATTTAAGGGGTACCGGGCGCCTGGGTGGCTCAGTCGTTAAGCATCTGCCTTCAGCTCAGGTCATGGTCCCAGGGTCCTGGGATAGAGCCCTGCATCGGGCTCCCTGCTCCGCAGGAAGCCTGCTTCTCCCTCTCCCACTCCCTCTGCTTGTGTTCCCTCTCTCATTGTCTCTCTCTGTCAAATAAATAAATAAAGTCTTAAAAAAAAAAGAATTTAAATGGTACCTATAGAAGACTTAGAGTCAGAAGATATATGTTAATGTTGTGACTCCCCTAATTTTGCTCTACTTCCTCTGAGCTTCAGTTTTCCCATTTGTGTAATGGGTGTGATATAAAAAAACTTTGTAAATTGCCAGTGCTATTGAGATGGTATTCTACACATGTGGTTCTCCATATATTTCTTGCCTTTGTTAGTCAAAGGATTCCTGTTCCCTTTTTGAAAAAGCCAGTTCCCAAGTCACAGGGAGGAAGGCAGGTAAAATGATGATAATTTTGTCTTTGTGGTTGTCATCAACTTATGGTTTGTATCTTTTCAGGTTGATACAGGCAATACTGGAAGGGTATTGGCTTCTGATGCTGCTGTTTTCCTGAAAAGATCAGGGCTTCCAGACTTGATACTTGGAAAGGTAGTATTTGTTCATTTTATTTTTTATTTTTATTTTTTAAAAAGATTTTATTTATTTATTCATGAGAGAGAAAGAGGCAGAGGGAGAAGCAGGTTCCCCAAGGAGCAGGGATCCCGTTGCAGGACTTGATCCCAGGATCCCGGAATCATGACCTGAGCCGAAGGTAGACGCTCAACCAACCACCCAGGCGCCCATATTAATGAATATTTATTTAGTAGTATAAATAAATTGGATGCAAATTTAGAAAGATACCATCAAGAAACTTAGAAGTAAGAATTGAATCATTGAAGTAGTTACAGTAATGCAATGGGGGGAATTTGTGGTGCAGTGATTTACCCTTTTGAAAAGTAAGGTGTTTTTCAGATTTTTAGAAAACCAATTTCTTTTTAGTGGGATGAAATGAGGAAGTAATAGTACATTTGGGTATTGTGGGGAGAAACAGTGCAGACTGGGAACCTTGCCACCCACTCAGAGAGTTGGCTCTATCTCTGCTTCCTCTATTATAACTGTCTCTAACTGTGTTTAATTTGTGGTGAATAGAATTGGGGATGAGAGGCTTAGAAAAGAGCACAAAAAAGTGGAAAGTCCCTCTTCTGGCTAAATCTCCCTATGAATCCTTATACATGATATTGATAATAGTTATTATAAGTTAATAATTTAATTATTCACAGATAAACATGAACTATTTCAACTTGCCCATAAGGAAGAATATCAACTTAACATGAATCTAAAATCAAGGTAGTAGATTCTAGTAGAAAGAGCATTGGATTTGGAGTTAGAACCTGGGTTAATGAAAAAGGCATTGGACTTGGAAGTTAGAACCTGGGTTTCACTTCTTTCCTTGATGCCTTGAATGTTCTTGAGTAAGTATCTCCACTGGGCCTTAGTTTCTTTCTGTAGGATTGCACTAAATGACCTCTAAGGTTTCTTTCCACTTTCAATTCTATGATTCTTAAATCTGAGGACCAAAGAGAATGAAGTTGTAAATTACAGGGATTTAATTTATCTTTAAGATGATTTTTGTTTAAAATATAGATTGACTTTTTTTTTTTCTTTCTGAATTTCAGATTTGGGATTTAGCTGACACAAATGGCAAAGGAATCCTGAACAAACAAGTAAGATTCAGAGATACATACGAAAAATTTTTTGAGTGCTTCAGAATAAAAAATAACCAGGACTTTTTTCTAATTTTAAACTAGGAATTGGTTTTTTACCAACATTAGGGTTTTGCGAGGGCAAGTGTTATAACAATATATTGGAAAATATTTCCAATTCAGTAGACTGATTAAAGTAACTGATTCCCAGAGGTGAGTGTTCATTTGGTGACATTGTTCTCCTGGAATGTCTTAGTCTGTTGGGGCTTCTCTAACAGGATAACACAGACTGGTTGGCTTATAAATAGCAGAAATTTATTGCTCACAGTTCTGGAGGTTGGAAGTACAAGGTCAGGCTCCCAGCCTGTTTGGATGAGGACTGTCTCCTTGGTCAGGGCTTCTTGTATCCTTACAAGGCAGAAGGGGCTAGGGATCTTTCTGGACTCTCTTTTTTAAAGCACTAATCCCATTCATGAGGGCCCCACCCTGATGTCTTAAACACTTCTCAAAGGCCCTACCCCCTAATACCATTACCTTTGGAGGTTAGGATTTCAACATTCAGTTTCTTGTACAGTATACTTACTTGTGAGTATTCTGGTCTAGGTCTTACTTTTGGCATATAAACCAAAAAATGGTTTACAGGCCATAAGTAAACCCTAGACTAGAAATACATGAAAGCGTTTATGGGTATTGGATACCATCAGTGTACTTTGAAATTCAGCTTGTTGGGGATGAATTTCAGAGTTCCATAGGATTGAATTCCAAGCTTGTTGCATGCTGATACATTGGCTGAGTACTGCTACTCAAAGTTAATTCTCCCATATGGGATAGCTGAAACAACATCATACTCAGAAAAGGGATGGGAAATTTAGATGAGAGGGTCAGAATATCCAGTCCCTTAATTAAGATTCCAGGGTTAGATTGTAGTCCCCATTGGAGCCCCTGAGCAGGAGGGCCAGTTGGTCCATTGGAGACATAGGAAGACTAACATCATATGGGCAGCCAGGGTACTGTGTGCTCAGTCAGCAAATATTTGAGTACCTATTTTGAGTCACACTTTGGAAATGCAGAGGTGTACATGACAGGTGTAGTCTCTGTCTTCATGAGTTTGTAGTATAATAAATTCTTCACTGATATTCCTGGACTTTGGATGTTGAGTTTGAATTGTCTTTGTTAAATCCAGGTGGCTGGATTTGTGGTTCTGCAGTTAAACTTTTTTTTTTTTTTAAGATTTTATTTATTTTTTGACAGAGAGAGAGCGAAAGAGGGAACACAAGCAGGGGGAGTGGAAGAGGGAGAAGCAGGTTTCCCGCTGAGCAGGGAGCCCAATGCGGGGCTCGATCCCAGGACCTGGGATCATGACCTGAGCTGAAGGCAGACGCTTAACGACTGAGCCACCCAGGCGCCCCTGCAGTTAAACTTTGATATTTGCATTGGAGAAACAGATTTTTGAATTAACATCAAGGAAAGAAAAGAAACCAATATTTATTGAGTTTCTATGTGCCAAAAATGACAGTAGGTGTTTTCTTTCTATAGTATGTTTTTTATTTTGTTCCTCATAATACATGGCAAGGTAGGTATTAGAAAAATTTTGCAGAAAAATTTTATTTAACTTGCCCATGGCCTCACAACTTTAAATAGCAGAACTAGAATTTAATGCAGGACTATTTCACTTCAGAGTCCGTCCATACTATGGGGGTAGACCTGATTACCTAAGAGTAATTGAATTTCATCAGTGAGAAAGGAAAGAGGGTTGATGTTGGAGTACTCAGAATACCAGCATTTATTTATTTATTTATTAAAAGTTTAATTATTTGAGAGAGAGAGAGAGAGTGCAAGCACATGAAGGGGGAGGGGCAGAGGGAAAGGGAGAAGCAGACTTCCTGCTGAGCAGGGAGCCTGCAGGGCTCAGTCCCAGGACCCTGGGATCATGACCTGAGCTGAAGGCAGATGCTTAACCAACTGAGCTGCCCAGCCACCCAGAATACCAGCATTTAAAGGTTGGAGGACTCCCCCCTCTCATACTCTCTCTCTCTATCTCATTCTCTCTCTCAAATAAATAAAATCTTTTAAATTAAAAAAAACAAAAGGGGGCACCTGGGTGGCTCAGTTGGTTAAGCAACTGCCTTCGGCTCAGGTCATGATCCTGGAGTCCGAGGATCGAGTCCCGCATTGGGCTCCTTGCTCAGCGGGGAGTCTGCTTCTCCCTCTGACCCTCCCCCCTCTCATGCTCTCTCTCTCTATCTCATTCTCTCTCTCAAATAAATAAATAAAATCTTTAAAAAAAATAAAAAAATAAAGTTTGGAGGAAGCATTGACGCCAAGAGAAGAGACTTGAAAGGTCAGAGGAAAGGTAGAAGAATTTTATGAAGCTATGTTGGTGGAAGAGAGTTTCTGGGAGTTATCATACTGTCCAGACTTCCAAAAGAATAAGCGGGATGAGGTGGGTTTTTTTGTGTTTTGTTTTGTTTTTTGAGGCTATTGTATTTGGTAGCTAAGAGGTTATTTGTGACATAGGCATTGGTTTCTCTAGCTAATGGTGGGAGTTGAAGTCAGATTGTATAAAAGCTTGTGGAGTGAATGAAAAGGGAAGGGGAGATCTTGAAATACCATCTTTTCAAGAAATTTGTGAGTGAAGGCAAGGTATTGTATAAAGCAGACAAACCTGCAAGGTTCTAAGAATAGGTTAGGAATTGGGTAAGAAGGGTATAGGTGAGAATAGGAGGTTTGAGAAAAGTGGTGATGAGTTGATTGCATCAGCAACTATACTAAGTTCTAAATGATTATAACTGGAGTAAAAGCATTTGTTATGTCTTTTCCCAGACCTGACTTTAACTCAGAACAGCTGGAAACCAGCATCTCTGCATTTATTTATTAAATTTTGGACTGAGGTTTCAAGTGCCAAAAATCCAAGGACCTTTGGGAGAGATTTTCAAGTATTTTGAAGTCAGGCAGTTATGTAATTGTTTTAGATGCTGCACAGTAGCTCTGTATTCTCTGTAGCTTTCCTGGAATAGCAGTGGTTGAGTCACTTCAGTGATTGGCCCTGTTTCAAAATTTATCATCTGAAATCCAGAGATGACTTTTGATAACATTCAGTTATTTTCTTCTAGGCGTTTTCCAGACTCTTTTTCCTCAATTAAATGATAAAAACAATTTTAACATCATTAAATGTTTTTGAAGCATGTATTTATTAATTTTGTATAATTTCCACTATCCGTATGTATCACAGTTTATTTAAGTATTTTCCCATTACATTAATACTTTTTGCTATTTATAATGTTAAGAACATCTTTGTACATATATATCTTCTTAATTTTAAAACAAGTGCTTTTAGGCAAATGTGCTGTTATTTTTGTTGCTACATAAAGATCTTGGAATAATTATGAATTGTTTTATATTTTCAGATTGCAAGTGTGTGGATGGATGGATGGATAGATAATGCACTGAATTTCATGCTTCTCTTTCTCAGGAATTCTTTGTTGCTTTGCGTCTTGTGGCATGTGCCCAGAATGGATTGGAGGTTTCACTGAGTAGCTTAAACCTGGCTGTCCCTCCACCAAGATTTGTAAGAAATGATCTTAAATTTAAATTGTATTTAATTAAAAAAATGATACTACATGATTTAAAAATTAAAATTGCCATATTAAAAAAAATTCCCCTAACCCCTATCACCCAGCTACCTGATTTTTTTTCTTAATGGTTACTGCTGTTATTAGTTTCTTATATATCCTTCCAGACTTATTATATGTGTATATAAAGAAATATAAATACCCACTTCCTCATTTTACATTGATAGTAGTGTACAATTAACACAATTCTATACCTTTTTAAATAATATGTTTTAGAGATCTTTACATAAAAGCGTCTTTATTCTTTTTTATAGCTGTATAGTATTTCCTTGCTTCTATTTACATAAAATTTTTAAAGTTTTTATTTAAATTCCAGTTAGTTAACATACAGTGTAATACTAGTTTCAGGTGTACAGTATAGTGATTCAACACTTCCATACAACACCCGGTGCTCATCACAGCAAGTGCCTTCCTTAATCCCCATCACCTGTTTAACCTATCCCCCCACACCTCCCCTTTACCATAATTTATTTAACTTCCTATCGATAGGTTTTTAGCTTGTTTCTAATCTTTTATTATTAAAAAAATGCTGCAATGAAAAATAATCTTGGATATATGTCATTTTGTATGTGCAGAAATATATTTATATGTGCATATTCTCAGAAGTGGAATTGCTGTTTCAGAAGTTTGCTCATTTGTGCAATTTTCATACATAATATCAACTTGTCTTCCATAATGGTTGTACTCATTTACAGTCCTGCCATCAATTGGCTGAGTGCACTTTTGCTAACATACTGTTGTTAAACTCTTTGATCCTTGTCAATTTGAGAGGTGACAAATGGAATGTTAAGTGTAGTTTTAATTTGCCCATCTGGTTTTATAGAGTGAGTTTGAGTAGTTTTTGTCATGCTTAGGGGCCATTTACATTACCTTTATGTGAAATGTCTGTTTAAAGCTTTTGCCCATTTTTCTTAGGTTATTGGTCTTTTTTTTTAAATTGAATTCTAGAGGCTACACACACACACACACACACACACACACACAATTTTTTCTCCAGTTTGTCATTTGTCTTTTGACATTGTGATTTTTTTTCCATAAGGTCATTGTTCTTTATGTAAATGAGTTAATAGGATTTAATTTTTTATCGTTTCTTTTTTCACATTTATGTTAGTCTTGATATCAAGTATGAGTATGGATTCAAATTTATGTTTTTTTCAAGTTGGCTACTTTATAGACCCAATACAGTTTATTAAATAACCAGTTTTTTCCTTACTGATTTGAAATGCCACCTCAGTCATGTATTTTGGTTTCTTTTTGGATTTTTCTCTTCTTTTTGATCTGTTTATCCATATGCTCATCTCATATTGTTTTAATTATCATATTTGGTAATTTGTTTTTACATCTGATAGGGCTAGTCCTCCCTACCCTATCCCCCTTTTCAGAAGTTTCATGTCTCTTACTTTTTTTTGGTTTATTTGTTTTAGATTTTATTTATTTATTTGAGAGAGAGAGCATGAGTGAGGGTTGGTCAGGGTTAGAAGGAGAGGGAGAAGCATATTCCCTGCTGAGCAGGAAGCCTGACACAGGGCTTGATCCCAGGACCCTGAGATCATGACCTAAGCCGAAGGCAGACACTTAACAGACTGAGCCACCCAGGCACTATGACTCTTAGTTGCTTTTAAATTCAGTATTTTAAAAGTATTTGGTCTGAGTATTAGGAATTCAGCTTCAGTTTTGAGAATTTCTGCATTTGTAAGTTTAGGCATGGAATCAGAGGGTTAATTTAGGGATTTGTTTCCTAACTATATTATTATAAAAATGTTTCAATATATCCATCTGTCTCTACAAGCAGATAAATATAACAACTTGGGTATGCTGTTAATAGGTTCATGTACTTGTAACTTAAGAAATCTTAAGTTGGGTTCTTGTCCCAGTTTGCTTTCCTTATATAGTGCTGGAAAAAAGTCATCAGTTAACAGGGCCACAAATATTTTAGTTACATTGAGATATCTTTATCTTGATATCAGTTGTAATAAGATTTCTTCTATAACACTTAAATGTTTCAGTTAGTGCTCTAATATCATTTATGCAGCTAACTCAGATAACTTCGTTTTTGTTTCATTTGTATTTAGATGATAGTCTAATAGAGTCAATATAAAATAGTGTTGTGTGTGCTTTGAGTTCCAAATTTTGTATGAATGTATTTAAATCCAAAGACCACTTTTTCTTTGTTGTTTATTGATGTGAGGTTTTCAACTCTTCATGTGCCCTATTTTCCTTTCTAGCATGATACCAGTAGTCCTTTGCTAATCAGTGGAACTTCTGTAGCTGAGCTCCCATGGGCTGTAAAAGTAAGTAAACTTTGTAACTGCTTTTTCCTTACCACTGCTTTGCTTCCTACCCACATAATCCTCTTCCCCTAGTTCCAAAATCTATTGTAATCTGCATGAGATTTTCATTTTTACTGTAGGAAAAATAGTAGTACTAGAAATCTTTTGAGAGATCTTAGTGTTCTGTCAATCATTTTGTGACAATATGGCTTAATCTCATTTGTTACAGTATAAACTAAAAATGGTGATGTCATAATCCTATTTTATGAATAAGTAGTTCACCCCACTGGTATTATTTCTTGTTTGAAAATTATGGTTAACCAGATAATTCTCCTTATGGCTCTAAAACTTAACAATTTTGTATTAAGTCTTTTTCTGAAGTGGGTCATTTTATCTGTTTGGAGACATCACACTAGTTATAGCTATCTTACCAGATTTTTTAATTTGTAATTTTTAAATAATACTAGAATATAGCAGATCAAATGACCTTTAATAAATATGAACAGTTTTGTCAGAAAGTCATTTGGTTTGTAGGTCTGCTTGTGTGTTCTTAACTAATTCTAAAAAGTATAGGGATCTGGCTTTGGGCAAATCACAAATGATAGGGTTTTTTTTTTTTTAAGATTTATTTATTTATTTTAGAGAGAGAGAGAGAGAGCACACATGCAAGAGGGGGGAGGGGCAGAAGGAGAGCATCTCAAGCAGACTCCCCTCTGAGTGCGGAGCCCAACTTGGGGCTCAACCTGGGGCTCGATCTCATAACCCTGAGATGATGACCTGAGCAGAAATCAAGAGTCTGACTCTCAACCGATGGAGCTACCCAAGTGCTCCACAAACAGTAGTTTTTTATGTTATACAGATAACTTCCCAGGATTCTAGGGAATGTCCTTTTATCAATAAGAAAAGGAAATCTTGCTTTGGGAAAAATGGGGGAAACTTGATGTTTATTCCTATGGTGGTTATTTTCTTTTTAAAATCTGAGTTTGAAATGTGACTAATACCATGTTGAGAAAGTCATAGAATGTCACTAACTAGCTGAGTGTTCTCACAAAAGTTATTTCTTTGCTATGGATTTAAGTGAGAGGGTTGGACTAGATGCTCCTCTCAAAGCCCTTCCTATCACTAAAATATTTTGATTAAGCTAACAGAAAAGCAAACATGGTGTTCCAGCTACAAAAGGAATGGAAGGGATACTGGACTCTTGAGTAACTTTTAATTTGTTATTTATAATAATATTTTTTGATGAAAGCAAAAAGTATTTTTAAATAATTTTTAAGAATATGTTGCCTGTTCTTTGAGGATTTGATTTTTATAACTGCAGTTAAATGCTTATCACCAGTATTTAACTTGTGATCTTTTTTACATTATAGTCTGAAGATAAGGCCAAATATGATGCAATTTTTGATAGTTTAAGCCCAGTGAATGGATTTCTCTCTGGTGATAAAGTGAAACCAGTGTTGCTCAACTCTAAGTTACCTGTGGATATCCTTGGAAGAGTAAGATATTACTAAATTCTAAATGTAATTTTTATGTATCTTACTTTTATATCTACCAGGAGCATTTATAGCTCATTGTTAAAAAATACTTAGATCTTATTTTGAAATTTTATTATTATATAATTTTTTGTGTTCTGATTTAATATATAAAATTATTGCCAATTAATTTTATTTGATATTCCCTCTAAAATATGAGTGCTTGAAATTAGTTATATATGTAAGCCCTTTGAGTAGGTCCTTTTTTCTTTGTGCTGTATGTTCTGATTTCCCAGTTCCTTGATTTAATTTCTGGAGACCGTCAGTATTTTATATCTGCTTCCTACTTAATAGCTGTATCATGGGGCCTTGCCATAAGGAATAGTTTCATCTCTGAAATAACTAGTTCTACTCTCTAAATAGAACTTCACACCTTTCTAGATCTCTTTCATAACTACTTGGAAGACCAATTCTTTAACTTCACAAGACCTTTAAGTCTCAGAGTCCTTCACTTTCTCCATTTTTCAAATTTATTTTTTTCCTCACCCAACTCGGTCCACAGTTTCATGTTGGTATCTTTAGCTCCCTTTGCCATGTTTTCTAACTTTCCCCTGAGCTGGTGAAAATCCAGCTTTGTGTTCAGCTAATTATGTGTCTTCTCTGTGGTTGCATATGGACTACTGAGAGTCTAATAAGATTGGTATCATCATAATTTCATGATCACCAACTTCATCTGGGCTTTCCCTACTCTTGGGCTATTTCCATAATGATTTCTCTCTAGGCCTCTTAATACAAACCTTATCTATTCTCATTAAACCTCCAGGCATTTCTTTAATCCCTTGCTTGGTCAGAATACGTAGGGTCAAATCCTGTCTGCACCATTTCTTAGATGTGTGACCTTGGGTGAATCATCAAAACTGTGTATCAGTTTTTTAATCTTTAAAATGAAGATGAATCCCAGTTTATAGGGTTGTAAGGATTAAATGTGATAATTTATGTATTTAGCACAGTGCTTGGTACGTGTTCTTTGATGCTAGCTGCTGTGATGCTGATGGTGATAATGACTTACCACCACACAACCAGAAGGAGTACTACTGGATCAGTGTTGTATAGGTTGGGTGCTCAATAAATACTAATTTAGAAGCCATTTTCCATATTGTTTCTCATTAATCATTGCTATGTGGTCAGTATGAGATTTCTAAACTATAAATATAATCCTGTTATTTTTTGACTTATAAACTAATCCTCTTAGTAGCTTCCTTTTGCATTTAGGATAAAGTCCACATTCCTTCAAGGCATTTAATGACTGGACACTGGCTTATCTCCATTCTAATCTCTTACCAATATACTTTCTCTTCCTTCCTCAAGTAAAATTTTGTTGTTGAATGACTTAAATATCTTCTTTTCAAAAATTTAACATAGTTTTATAGCTGGTCTAAAGGTATGGAATCTACTCTATATTTAAATCAAATCTACTAGGTCCTTTTAGATTTATTTTTCTCTTGTAAGCCCTGGACATTAGTTGGTTCATAATTAATAACACAGTATTCACTAGATTTATCTTTTAGTTGATCAGAGATTCTGTATGGAAAATAATAACGGACTTAGTTGGAAATCTTCATGTTGAATACTGATTCTATAACTTAATAATGGTCGCATGATCCTAACTAAGTCCTGTCACCTCATGTCGAAAAGCAGGTTGATAGTACCACATGGAGTTTTTGCATGAATTAACTGAGATGATGTTTGTGAAAAAGCATTGTAGCTGTTTAAAGTGCTGTGTACATAATTGTTTTCTTACTTGAGAGAAACAAAATATTTTCTTTAAAATTTTGTAAGGAATTTTTATTTAAAAAATATTTCTATTAAGAATTATTACTTTTTACAATAATGTTAATAAAGAATATAATAGTGATATAATAAAATGTTCAGCATAAATGAAATTTCTCTGAGAAATAGATATTTTAATGTTTAGATGAAACTTCCGCACCTCCCCCCCGCCCCCCGTTTATGTATTTGGTGTTTACAGGTAGCACATGAAATGAAAGAACGTTAATCTTTGTCAGTTCTTTTCTTTTTAAGGTTTGGGAGTTGAGTGACATTGATCATGATGGAATGCTTGACAGAGATGAGTTTGCAGTTGTAAGTAACCTAATGCTCTTAAAATCTTAAACATCTTAATGGTTTTTCAAGTGAGAATTTTCCTGTTTATCCTCAGAGGAAAACTATATTTCCTTAAGGTTGTTGGTATGTGTATTTTTATCTAAAGTGTACAGGTAGTCAATAAATATTTTTAAACAAATGGATAGTAGAAAATGTATGTTCTTACCATCTTCATTTTATTTGACTTTAAGGTACATAGGATTATCTCCTTTGGATAATATACTGTAAAGATGCTGAGTGGTGTTGAGCCTTCCTATTCCATCTTAACCAGGCACCACATCTCAGTACCTCCTTCTGCTATGGAATAATTTTACTTCATATATGCCCCCAGATTTTCACATTTGTTTTATTAAAAGAAAACATGGATAACACTGTAGTTGCACTTCATTTATAGAGTCAGAGAAAGTTTTGACATCTTATCTGAAGACATGTCATCTTTGGAAATTGGAAGTTAATTCCAAATAGAGTTGTGGTCATCTCTTCCTTAAAGGCTAGATACAACTCTGCTGTGAGCTCATGAATAGTAAATCTCTAATCCCCCTTTTAATCTCTTACTTGGAAATTAGTCTGTTCAGATTTTCTGTCTTTATTTTGCTAAGAAATTACCTATTTCTTTGACTTTTCGAACTCATGACAGATTGGCATTATTCTTTTAATCTCTTCTGGGGTTGTGGTTGTGCTAATTTCTCATTCCAAATCTTGTGTATTTTTACCCCCTCTTGAGAGATCTTTTGTTTAATTGAATTTTATCTAGTTTTAAATCTTTTAAAAGAGCCATCTTTTGGATGTAATCATCCTTTTTATTATGTTTTGACTTTTTTGTTCTTCTCAGCTTTTATTTTAGTTCTTCCTAGTTTCTTTTGGTTTGCCTTTAAAAAAAAACAACTTTGGAAAATGAATACTAAGTCCCTTTATTTTTTATCATCTTTAATATTGAAAACATTCAAAGTATGTGTTTTCTCTTGAGTACCGACTTAGCTGGATTCCATAGATGCTGATATAAAGTATTCTCCTTTTTGCTACTTTTTAGATAATTTTTAGGTTTTTTTTATCATCTGTTTAGGAATATATTTCCTAATTTCGAAGTAGTTAAGTTTGTTTGGTTTTTAGTTACATATGTATACACTTTTAGCTTGATTAGATTACACCTAGAGAATGTGGTCTTTAAAATCTCTATTTAAAAAATTTCTTGGGTGCCTGGGTGGCTCAGTTGGTTAAGCGGCTGCCTTCGGCTCAGGTCATGATCCCAGGGTCCTGGGATTGAGCCCCGCATCGGGCTTCCTGCTCAGCGGGAAGCCTGCTTCTCCCTCTGCCTGCCACTTTCCCTGCTTTGTGCTCTCTCTCTCTGTGTCAAATATATAAATAAAACATTTAAAAAAAAATTTCTTGAGGTTTTCTTCTTAGCCAAGTTCATGACCTGTTTTTACATATGTTCCCTGGGTGTGTCAACATTTCTGCTCAGAAGATACTACACCTCTAAAAACTCATCATATCAATTTTATTGATTATGTTTTTGTTTCTGGATTGCCTTATTTTTCCTTTTTTGCCCTTTCATAAATTTTATTCTGTTTATCTCCCAAGAACCAAATAAAATAGGAAGAATAAGTATTATTACATTTGAAAAAAAATTGAGAAGTGGAAACTTAAAGTGTGACTTGAGTTGATGGTCGTAAGTCCCTAGTATTTTTATTTTAATTTGGGTGATAGTTGGAAAGTGGCAGGGACTACCCCCTCACAGTGGTGACAAAAGTTTTCCCAGCTATATATTAAAGGTTGATTCAATGTTTGTGTGGTGTTTTTGGGAAAGAAAGTGGTATATTGAGATTTGGCTAATGTACTTTGAAAGACTGTCAAACTCTATATATTAACTTTTTATAAATAGCTTTTGTGTTAAGAATATTGGCATAAAATCTTTGCATTGGTAAGATGTGTAGAGGGATTTTTGTTTTTTATGAAGACAACAATTAAAAATTTCAAAGAAGCATTTCTATAAGCATAGTTAAGACAGATGGAGAATAGTATTACCGTCATTTGATTAATGGGAGTATGTGCTAAGGTAAGTGATTAAACACAGTTTATCTTATATGCCCTGAAGCCTTTTACTAGGTAACCTACTCTTTTTTAAAATAAAAGTAAGAATAATTTAAGAATGAATGACGCATTTATAGGAAGTTACTACTTAAAAAAAATAGTGAACATCCATATGCCTTCTCCTAGATTTACTAATTTTAACATTTTGCACATTTGCTTTCTTTCTATGTGCATTCCTCAGAAATGCTTTCCAACTTTATCATGCCTTTAGTTTTGGATTCCAGCTCATGTGATATATATTTTTTTAAGATTTATTTATTTATTTGAGAAAGAGAAAGTGTGCATGAGTTGTGGGGGAGGGGCGGAAAGGGAGGGAAAGGAGAGAGAGAATCTCAAGCTGACTCCCTGCTGAGCATGGAATCCGACTGGGGGCTCCCTCCCACCACCCTGAGATCATGACCTAGGCCCAAATCAAGAGTCAGATGTTTAGGGCACCTGGGTGGCTCAGTTGGTTAAGCGACTGCCTTCGGCTCAGGTCATGATCCTGGAGTCCCGGGATTGAGTCCTGCATCGGGCTCCCTGCTCGGCGGGGAGTCTGCTTCTCCCTCTGACCCTCTTCCCTCTCGTGCTCTCTATCTCTCATTCTCTCTCTCAAATAAATAAATAAAATCTTTAAAAAAAAAGAAAGAGTCAGATGTTTAACCAACTGAGCCACCCAGGCACTCTTCATATGATATTTCTACTACCTCTGTTCTCTTTTTATCTGGATTACCTGGTATTTCTTATATTTAAAATGTATCTCTTGAAAACAGCATGTTGCCGTGTTTCAGTTTTTTACCTAATTTGACAGTTTTTGTCTTTTAAGATAATGATGCAGATATTGATTTTATTCCCCCTACCTTATTTATTTAACATTATTATTTTCTCTTTTTTTTCCTGTTCCTATTGTTCCTGGTTATCAAGTAGTGATTCATTGAATTTTCCCTTCTCATTAAAGTGGAAACTCTGTTACAATGTTTATGCCATTAATGGTTAATAACACCTATCCCTGTACTTAATCATACTTTCTCCAGTAGCTGAAAGTAAGTTAACCTTCACTCCAATATAACAAGTCCTTTAGATTATTTTCGCTTTTTTCTTCTTCACCTCCTAACCCCAGAAGATTTTAGAACATTTTTTGGTAACTAAAATTCTAGATTTTACTTGGTTAATTTAGTCCTTTTGGTTCTAGGATTTTCCTTGTGGTTTTGTCAATATCAGGAGTCTCACTAGCATTGTTTTGGTAGACTTTGCCTGATAAATCTTTTTCCATCTTTTTATTTCATGAATGGGGCAACATAGTCCATAGTTTTTTTTTTACTCTTCAGATTTTGTAACTTTTTTTTAATTGAAATAATATAATTAACATATAGTATTGTATTAGTTTCAGGTGTACAACATAATGATTCAACAATTCTATACATTGCTCAGTAACCACAATAACCACAATAAGTATAGTTACTGTCTGTTACCAGACAATGTTATTACAATCTTATTGATTATATTCCCTATGCTGTGCTTTTCATCTCTGTGACTTATTTATTTTATAACTGGAAGTTTGTACTTTTTAATCTCTTTTATCTATTTCACCCTTCCCCCCCCCGCAACTACCAGTTTGTTCTCTGTATTTAAGAGTCTATTTTCTTGTTTGTTTTCTCTTTTGTTTGTTCGTTTGTTTGTATATTTCTTAGAGTCCACATGTGAGTGAAATCATGGTATTTGTCTTTGACTTATTTCACTTAGCATTGTATTCTCTGGGGCTATCCATATTATTTTATTTTTTTTAAAGATTTTATTTATTTATTTGAGAGAGAGAGAGTGCATGAGAGGGGGTAGGGTCAGAGAGAGAAGCAGGTTTCTCACTGAGCAGGGAGTCCGATGCGGGACTCGATCCTGGGACTCCAGGGTCATGACCTGAGCCAAAGGCAGTCGCTTAACCAACTGAGCCACCCAGGGCTATCCATATTATTGCAAATGGCAAGATCTCATTCTTTTTTTATGGCTGAATAATATTCCCATGTGTGTGTACCACATCTCTTTATCCATTCATCTATCGGTGGACACTTGGGGTGCTTTGTTATTGCAAATAATGCTGCAATAAACATGGAGGTGCATACATCTTTTTGAATTAGAGTTTTTGTTTTCTTTGGGTAAATACCCAGTAGTGGAATTACTGGGTCGTATAATATTTCTGTTTTTTAATTTTTTGAGGAACCTCCATACTTTTTTCCAGTGGCTGCAGCAGTTTACATTCCCACCAACAGTACAACAGGATTCCTTTTTCTCCACATCCTTGCTGACACTTGTTATTTCTTGTCTTTCTGATTCTGGCTAGTCTGACATGTGTAAGGTATTATCTCATAGTGGTTTGATTTGCATTTTCTTGGTGTCTCCTAGTATATGATAGTTTTTCTGTCTAGCTTCTATGACTTTGGCATTATCAAGGAGCACTAGCTAGGTATCCTGTAGAAGGTCTGCCAATCTAGGTTTGTCTGATGTTTTTCTCATGGATAGACTAGAGGTGTGGGTTTTTGGAAAGAATACCACAGGTGTGAAATGCCTTTTTCATCACACTTATCAGGGGATACATAGTGTCCACATGCCATTACTGGTGATGTTAATCTTCGTCACTTGGTAAAGATGGTGTTTGCCAGATTTCTTCACTATGAAGTTATTATTTTCCTCTTTTCCTATTCTGTTCTCTGGAGAGGCAGACTCATGCCCTTTTTACTTTGTATTCTGTCTTCATATCTTTGTACTGGTTTTTACATTCTTACTAGGCCTTAAGTTTTTCTGTCAAGTATGTGGTCTAAATTTTAGTCAGTAGCATTTGTTGGGTCCTCATGTGAAGAGTTTTTGGCACTTTGAGATTTATTAACTGTATTTATATTAACATGGTCACATTGTACTGAAGTTAACTTGTTACATATTTGCTAGTTCTATCGGGTGGTAAACATAAAATATCTTTTTAGTTTTCTATTTCTAGTGCCTAGCACAGTGCCTGGTGGCTAGAGATTTCTCAGTAAATATTTTGTTGAATTAAATTGATGAAGAAAACTTGTATTACTTGGCATACATAGGAAATGCCCATTATTTTCATCCCAGAATGCTATTTTAAGAAATTAAAACTGGCAGTTCAAGTGATTGAGTACACGAATGAGCAAATAAAACTCTAAAGGAAGCTCCTAAAATACTGGTTCTCAAAGTATGGTCTCCCATCAGCAACATCAACATTACCAGAGAATTTATTAGAAATGCAGAGTCTTAGGCCTTAGCCCAGCCCAACTAAATCAGAATCTCTGGGGTAGGGGCAGAGAAGCCCTCTCAGAGATTCTGATGGCCCCGAAAATTTGAGAATGCTCCCTAAAAGCACAGAGAATAAAAAGAAAACAAAGTGAGAAACTACTGGTAATTGACTGCAATAGTAAAACTAAATCCCCTCTTTCCCTGCTATCACTGAGAAACCTTAGGCTTGATTTTGCCAGATTTTTTTCTTTTTTTCTTTCGGTGAATATGGTGCATCATTTGCTTTAGTTGCTATATTTGTTTCAATGGCAGGCTTTGATTAGGATGAAGTACAATATAATAATAAAAAAAAATCACAACCCTGCAGTATACTATTCACTTTTTTGTTTTATTTGGTAGAAAATTTTTTGGCTTCAGTTTTGTCAGGGAAACTATTTTCAACGCAACATGAAATTAATGATAATTTTTTTTTTAACTTTCAAAAAATGTGTTGTCTATTGGCAGCAGATAGCTGACATAGCTTTTTTGCTTCTAGTGTCTTCTTTTCCAGGAAATGACTCCCATCTGCATCAAGAGGGATGCTGACCTTTAATGTGCATGTTAGTCACTTCTTTTAGCTCAGTGCCAATTTAATAATATTGCCTATATCATGAATTTGGTTGAAAGTATGTGCTAGCCAGATTGTTTTCACTCTGGAGTTTCAAGCCTTTGAAGTTAATAAAGTTTGTGTGTTTCTAAAACTAAATTGAATTCTTCAAGTTGACTAGTGAATGGGAAGAAGAGAATTCTTGGTTTGGGCCAAACCGTTAAATATGGTCCCAGGACAAAGAGCATCAGCATCCTTGGAGACTTCTTAGAAATTTAAAATACCAGGCCCAACCCAGACTTAATGATTCTAGAATTCTGGGAGTGGAGCCCAAAAATTTGTGCTTTATAAAGTTGTCCAGGTAATTCTGATACCTGCTACAATTTGGGTCCCATTGGGTGTAAGTTTAGTTTTATCCTTTGTGGAGGAGAACATGGTGTTGTAAAATTATATGTGTACTCCTAATGAAGCTATCAAATCTGAGAAAAACAAGAGCTTTGTAGCCGGATCTGTTTGAACGCTATACTATCTTAAAAGATATCAGGCAAGTTACTTAGCATCTCTGAGCTTCAGTTTCTTCATACATAAAATATTTGTAATCACAGAAATCAGGGATCAGTGTTGTTGTATTAGATGCTCAATAAATACTGATTTGAAAGCCCCATAAAACTTAACTTAGAATTGTAAGCAAACTTTTTTTGGGGAAAAATATTATTATTATTATTTTTTAATAAAAGATTTTGTTGATTTATTTGACAGAGACATCGCAAGAAAGGGAACACAAGCAGGGGGAGTAGGAGAGGGAGAAGCAGGCTTCCCGCGGATCAGGGAGCCCGATGTGGGGCTTGATTCCAGGAATCTGGGATCATGACCTGAGCTGAAGGCAGATGCTTAACGACGGAGCCACCCAGGCGCCACCGAAAAATGTTATTTTCAGTAGAAAAAAAATAATTAAGTACTTAAGCTTCCTCCCGGTTGCTGTTAGAATCTTTTTGGAGGTTCCAGGTTGCTTTTTTTTTTTTTTTTAAGATTTTATTTATTTATTTGACAGACAGAGACAGCGAAAGATGGAACACAAGCAGGGGGAGTGGTAGAGGGAGAAGCAGGCTTCCCGCTGAGCAGGGAGCCGGACGCGGGGCTTGATCCCAGGACCCTGGGATTATGACCTGAGCAACCAAGGCGCCCCAGAGGTTCCAGGTTGCTTTGAGCAATTTCATATGCTTGAAGGTTGTCATGGAAACTATCTTTTGAAAGTCTTGAAGGTGTCTTGAATTCTTTAAAATGAAGGGACTATCCTGGAACATTCTATATGTAGGTGGTTCCACTTTGTGCAAATGCTTTATGTATTTAATAATTAAAAATAATTTTAAATAAGTAATACATTTTCATGGTTCAGAAAGCAGTACAATATAAGAAGATATTCAGTGGAAAAAAATTTGGTTCCGTCCTTGCCCTCATTGTTCATTTATACCCACTCTATAATCAACCATGTTTCTTAGTTTCTTGTTCATTCTTCTAGACTTCTAAAATGCAAATATAAACACATATGAATAAATATTACTCCCTTACTGCAAAAGATAACACACTATACACACTGTTATACACATTAACACTGTACTTGGGTATCTTCACATAGAGAGCTCTACGATTCCCGCCCCGCCCCCTCCACTGCCTGGGTCAGCTTTATTGAAGAACTACTTTACATACAGTGAATTGCATTCAATTTAAGTATATAATTTGATGAGTTTTGATAATTGTATATATTTGTGAAGGTACTGCAGTTAAGATAGAGAATGTTTTCAGTGGTTTTGGTTCGTTGGTTTTTGTTTTTGCTTTTGTTTCATAGTATTGTATAGCTGTATCATAATTGTTTAAAACCAGTCTTTTGTGGTTGAGCACTTGGGTGCTGCTACAAAGAATTCTGTGATTAACAATCTTTTTCACAGTGTTTTTTTATGGAGGCAGGTAAGTCTGAGGGTAGATTCCCAGATGGGGGATTGCTGAGCCAAAGGAGAAGTAAATAAATTTGGTAGTCATTGCCAATTTGTCCTGCATAGGCTTGGTACCAGTTTGAGCCCCCACTAGCAACGTCTGAGGGTGCCTGTTTGCCTAGTGTAGTTAACAACGTGAGTTATGAAACTTCGGATTTTTGCCAGTTAAGTGGAAAATGGTATTTTAATATAGTTTTAATTTGAAGTTCTCTTGTGAAAGTGAGCATATTTTTGTATATTATAGACCATTTGTAGTATTTACTTTTCTGTAAAATACCTGTTTTTACTCTTTACCCATTTTCCTATTGGATTTTGTTTTTTTCTTCTGTTAATTTCTAGGGACTCTTTTTAGGGAGATTAGCTCTTTCTTTGCAAATATCTTTTTCCCAGATTGTTTGCTTTTGACATTGCAAGATCTTTAATTGAAGGGTGTGTGTCTGAGTTTTTGCTACTTTGGATATATTCCTATAAGTTGCTTAGCTTTGATTTATTTCCTTTTCTCCTTTCTTCCTTTCATCTCTCTCTCTCTTTTCCTCCTTCTTTCTTTCCTAGCCTAATTTCTTAAAAAAAAAAAAAAAAAAAAGAATTTGAGACAGCTTGAAGCTGCTTTGTGTTGAACAATAATCAGTTCAGTGGGTCGGTGTTGTTAAATGATTTTAATATATATGACCCTCGTTCATCTCTCTTGAAGGCCATGTTTTTGGTATACTGCGCATTGGAGAAAGAACCTGTGCCAATGTCCTTGCCTCCCGCCTTGGTGCCACCTTCTAAGAGAAAAACGGTCAGTATATCAGGCTCTGTGCGGTTGATCCCCTCATCAGCATCAGCCGAGGAACCTTACCACTCCTTACCACCTGTAGGCATTTTACCTACCAAAGCACCGTTAAGACAGGTATAGATCTATCAGTGTTAAAGGACTTTTTTTTAAGTGCATGGCATTTAACAGTTGATTGCTTGATGAAGACAGAAGGATCAATCAAAGGGATCAAAGATTTAGAGCACCCTCTGGTTGAACCTGCATAATGTCATGTCCTGGAAAAGACATATAATCCTTCTCCTGCATTTGGCCTTACTTAGGTCATATGGATGTTTTATTGGCTTTGCCTTGATCTACCTGGAATTAGAGTTGGAGACAGAAGATACTCCATGCTAATCTGGCATGCTTGCCTGGGCATAGTTAATAGATATTTTTGTTTTTTTAATCCCCAGTTAACTCTTGATTCTTTGGGATCAAATTATCCAATTTTGGGTTGTTTGAGCCTTTTTTTCCTCCAGCCTGCTGCTTGTCAGGCTGAGTAAAGGAAAATAACGGCAGGATATGCAAATCAGCTAATTCAGCTACAGCTAAGAATGCTGAATGAAACTATAAAAAATGGGGATTGAGAATTTTTTGAATATTTTGTTTATACAGACTCACAGTTAACCCATATTAATGTGGTCATTAATAAGTCAAGAGTTAACTATGCTTGAATTTACTCATTACTTAAAAGGAAAAAAGTGAAGTGGGCATCTGTAAGTATAGTCCCAACTGACCTATATTTTTCTTCTGTAATTTTCTCTTCACCACAGCATTTTGATTAGGGTGTGATGGAATGGTACAGTTAGTGGGGTGGAATTGCTCAGAATTTTGACAGATACTATCATGGATTGCAAGAATGACATTTCAAAGTCTGTTTCATTCTGTCAGAAATTCTCTCTCTCTCTATCTATACATATTTAATTATTTTCATTTTTATTTCTTTCCTGTAGTGGGTTGTATCCCCTGCAGAAAAGGCTAAATATGATGAGATCTTCTTGAAAACTGATAAAGATATGGATGGCTTTGTGTCTGGATTGGAAGTCCGTGAAATCTTCCTGAAGACAGGTTTACCTTCTAACTTACTAGCCCATATTTGGTAAGATTTTATTTAAATTGATTTAGAAAACAAATATGGTTTTGTATAACTCCTGTTTTGTGCATTCTTATTTTTAGGCATTTGTAAATTGGACAGTTTTGTTTCAGAATTTTTTGTAGAGAAAATTTAAATATGAGAATTTCTTCTGGATAATGGATAAAAGCTTGAGAATGGATTACCTGTTTTATAAGATTGACAATGTCAGTTAATGATTATTAAAATGTTAAAATGCAGCATTTGTTTATATCAATTAAACTTAAATTTTTAAGGGAGAATCAAAAAATCTGAAATTTAAACAATATACAAAACAGTATCTTCAAGGTGTGCTCTTATAATTCTGTAGGGCATATGTATTCTGTTATACCTTTACATAGAGAGTACACACTTGTTCCTAAAACAAACTTGAGTGTCTCTAGTGCATATCATGTTAAATGAGACCATGCATATGAAAATTATAGTATGCCTGTTGGCAGTCCACCTGACTATACCAGAGGTTATTTTGAGGTTTTCATGAGGCAGCAAACATCAGATGTGGAACCACATAGCTGCAAAGAGGTACTTAGAAAAGAACAAATGAGGACAGTAGGTCTGCCTTAAGAGGAACAAGAACTCAAGACTGGGAAAGATTAAATATGTGTAACTAATAATAACTGCCACTTTCAAGAGCCTAGGCCAGACAGTGTGCTCAATAAATGGCAGTTGTCATGGGCTTGGCAATATGCCCAGACTTTATGTACTTTACCTTTAATTCTCACTGTAACCTTGCAGAATGTGTGTTATCTCCACTTTATAGATGAAGAAACTAAGGCTTGAAGAGGTTAAAAAAATTTGTTCAAGGTCACAAGAAGAAATAAGTAGAGAAGCTGGAATTCAGGGTTTCTTTGACAACTTACCCATAGTCTGTTCATCAGGCCACATTGGGTTTCAATGAATGAAACAGATCAGGATTTCAGAAAGCTGAGCTTTAGAGAGAGAGAGAGAGAGAGGGAGGGAGGAGGGAAGGACAAAAGTAAACAGGGTAAAACATTTGCTGTTTCTCTTCAAGTGATTTTGTAAAGCTTTCCACATTGCTGCCTTCTCTTCACATGTGATCTCCATTTGCAGCTGTTGTTTCTGCTTTGACTTGGTGATCCTTATATCCGCCTACTCCCTAGAGTTGCAGGAAGCAAGCCAACGTGGAAATTTTTGCTTGTTTTAGAATCATTCTAACGCCACTAATGAACCAAATTTGTTGAAACTTAGGTTTCATTTTTAACATCTTTTAATGTTGAGAACGTTGGGATTCTTTGGCCCATCACAACTCTTACTCTGTAGTGGTTCTGGAAATTGGTAAGGAAGCACAAAGCAAACCCAGATAAGAGACCTCTGCTCAGCACCAAGGTGAACATTCTCTTTCTCTCTTTTTTTAAAACCATTTTAGCTGATCTCTCTTTTCTAACATTTGAGTTTAAGTTTTGGGCAGGCCAAACACACAGAAATATGAGTTTTTTTTTTAATTCAACCGATCATTTTTAAAAAGCTACCTAGTCCTATTACTTTTTCCCTGGATTTTTAGAATAGCAGTTGTAGCATTTATATTCTGTTTGTTTTGTTTATTTGTACAGGACATTATGTGACACAAAGGACTGTGGGAAGCTTTCAAAAGATCAGTTTGCCTTGGCTTTTCACTTAATCAATCAAAAGTTAATAAAGGGCATTGATCCTCCTCACATTCTTACTCCTGAGATGGTTCCACCATCAGACAGGGCCAATTTACAAAAGGTAAGACAACTTAATAGAAAACCTGAATGTATTAACAGAAAGAAACAAGTGCTGTGTTAGATGACAGACTTGATTTGAATGAAACAGTGGAGAAAATGTATCTGGCTAGGAGTAGAACAGTATACTGTTTGTGGTTCAGTTTGTGTCTATAAATATGTTCAAACGCCTTGTATGACATCGTTGGGCTGCAGTTCATTTACCCCAACATTCATTACACATATGGCAACCATATTTTCCAATCTAAAAATTGGAAAAATGTGGTCTTTCCCCCCCCTTGGATTTGTGAATTTTTATGAATAAGGTATAAAATTTAAATGAAATGTATAGGAATTAAATTATTGTGTTTCATTTGATGATTCACTCTTAATACAAATTTGAAAACAAAATCTAGGAGATTATGATTGTTTGGTGTCATTTTTTTTTTTTTTAAGATTTTATTTATTTATTTGACAGAGAGAGACAGTGAGAGCAGGAACACAAGCAGGCTTCCCGCGGAGTAGGGAGCCTGATGCGGGGCTCGATCCCAGGACCCTGTTGAGAAGAAATCTTTGTGGTTTTTGCCATGTAGATGACCTTCTTTTCCTGAGCATATGGCCAAATTTCATATCTGAACAGCTAGAAGCAGGTTTTAGCAACTTTTGGTTTCTGGTCAGCAGTGGGAATTTTCAAAACTACATTGTTGTAGCCATGCTATGCCTTGATTTTTCTCTCCTCCTCTAGACATCCTTCCTAGCATAGTATATTTACAATATCTTGGTTCAGCTCAGGTCATGATCCCAGGGTCCTGGGATCGAGCCCCGCATCGGGCTCCCTGCTTGGTGGAGAGCCTGCTTCTCCCTCTCCCTCTGCCTCCCGCTCTGCCTGCTTGTGCTCTCTCTCTGTCAAATAAATAAAATCTTAAAAAAAAAAAATACATACCTTGCATTTTTAAATATGTTAAGACCTATAAAGTAATTATTGCTGTGGTGATTCTTCAGAGTTAGATGTAATAGAAGTTGTCAAATGTGTGGTGTAAGGAGAGCTGTCCTTAAAATGTCAGTAGAATATTTTGGTTTTGCAGTAATTTTGTCACATAGGTTAAAAAAAAATCCCATTTTAACCTAATAAAAGTCAAAACTGATTTTTTTTTATAAGTCAACTAAATGGAAATTTATAGCCACCAGGTTTAGAAATTACTTGTAAGAGTTTTTATCCTTATATTTTAATAAAATAAGTATTTGATGATCTCTTTTGTGAGTTTTGGGGGAGGGGAGAGCATTTTGTGAAATTTTTGAGATTTCTTGTGACGTAGGATATGGGTTCCCTAAGATGTGGAAAAGGCTAAAAGTGATGCCACCCAGAAAGATAAAAGTTACAAATTTGTATGTGTGCTCTCTGCTATAACTGTATCTCAGTTGTTTCATCCTTTTTCCCCTTGTCACCTTCATTTTATACCCACTAAGTCTCCCACCAGTGCAAACTACAGATATGACAGAGCTTTCTGAAGCAAATGACATTAGTAGACACTCCAGGTTGCATCTGCTATACAGATTTTTTAATAGAATTGTCTGAAGTCCGTTCACCAGAGCATAGACACCTTTGGCTATTTATATCAGATACCAATATTATACATTAAAATGGGATTTTATCATTATTGTCTTACCTATTAACCAAAATTTTTAACCTAAATATTAAAAATTTGCATTTGTCTTTCAAATAATCTCTTTTCTCTTTATAATCTAATTTTTTTAGAACTGCATTTTTTTGCAGCTTTGACTAATCATTTTTTGAATATTGCTTTCCTTTCTGTGTTTTTTCTAGTTTGGACTATTTTTTCCATTCTGCAGCACTCTGCTTTTCGCCTTTCTTGTACTGTCAGTTTCTTAACTCTACTCTCTCAAGGTTAGAGCTTTACTTTTTGCCTTTTTTAGCATTACAGTTTTTGCTTTATAATTTTGAAATTAGAAGCTTTTTAAGTGGCAAAGTTGATGCAGAGAAAATACCTAAACAGCATGATTTTGTCACATGTCTGTCACTTGGTCCTCGTGTGCATTTTAGATGGCCTTCCTTAGGCTCTTTGATCCCCTTAAAATCACCAAAGTGGAATTTTTGTGTAATGCACAAAACAGGGTGAGAGAAAATATTTTGAAAGAAGAGGACATGCTACATTTTTCTCCATATGCCCTTCTTATACTTCATATACTTTTAGCTGACCTTTTTCCATGTTTCTTGGTTGGATGCCATTTTATTACTTTAGAATGGGAGTTTAATTTCTCTGTTAGCAATTGAGTGACACAAGCTATACCAACTACAGTACACTGATCTTCCTTCTAGAGTCATCTGTGGTATCACCTAACTTGTTTGAGGTTAAACTTATTTGTCTCACTCTTCTTATTTGAGATATTTTTAATAGTGAAAGACTCAACTGTGAATCACTTTTTTTGAGTTAGAGTGACAGAGGTGTGGAAGTCATGAGTTTCTTGGTATACTTGCACCTTTCATAGCGAATTTCTCAGTAGCAGCTAGGTGATATAAGTTACTTTTGGTGATAAAAGTGAGACCAAGTCCTAATTTTTCATTTTGTTCAACTGTCAAACTGTCTGGCCAGGCTTAGCAAATAAATCAAGTTTAGACAGACTTAAAATTCTAGTGAATACCTGTCATATTCAGAAATCCACTTTAAAACTTCTAATTTAATTTAGGATGATAAGGGTCTGTATATTAGAGAAATACAGTAAAACAGTAAGAGGTACATTTGATAAAAATTTATAGTTAATAATAAAATTGAGACTAGCATTAATTGAATCCTAATAGATGAATTTTGGTATTGATAGACAAAACATCTGAGGACTAATAATGCAGTGTGCCTAAAGAAATATGGAGGGAATTATTTGCCAGATTTTATTGACATACCTGTTTATCAAGTTGGCTTTTAGGGTGATGGTTTCATTTACCTAAATGATCTTGATATGCAAGCGCTGAGGGGCATAATGTGAAATAGACTTGAATTTAATCAGCGGTCTCCTAATCAATATCTCCTATTTGCTGGGTTCAACTTTAGGCAAGTCATTTAAATCTAGTTCCTTAGCTCTAAAATGGGGTTAGTAATAATATCTGCCATACCTACAACCCAGTTTTCAGATTAGTTTTGAGAATTGATTAATGGATTTGAAAGTACTTAGTAAATTGTAAATCATCATATCCATGTGAAGAGATGGGATATTGTGAACTTTTAGGTTTCTTCTTCCATTGTCCAAGTTGGTGACATACATTAAGTCCATAACAACATAAGTGTTAATTCCAAGTTTTATGTTCTGCTAATAAGGTCCTTAATATATTTTAGTTTTACATAAACAGGCCTCAATTTTAACATTTCCTATTGGTGGTTATTCTGTTATTTGTCAGTCTGGTTGTAGCATTAGAGGTAGGTCAGGTGTTTAAAGGAGCAGTTATCTTCTTGCCCTGACTTCAGCCAGATATATAATGCATCAAAAATGGTTCACAAACCATTGTGAGCCAGGGTGGAAGCAACTCATTGGGAGAGTGTCCATCTTAAGAGCATATTCTGTTGAGGAAGTTAATTATAATAATACCTTACATTTGTAAAATGTTATAAAGTTTTAGAGTGACTTTACATACATTATTTATCTCATTTAATTTTTTAAAATATTTTATTTATTTGATAGAGACACAGCGAGAGAGGGAACACAAGCTGGGGGAGTGGGAGAGGGAGAAGTAGGCTTCCCGCTGAGCGGGGAGCCCAATGCGAGGCTCGATCCCAGGACCCTGGGATCATGACCTGAGCCGAAGGCAGATGCCCCTATCTCATTTAATTTTTAAAGAGACAGGGCAGAGATTATTTCCCTATTTTATAGTAAAGATAGTGCAGCTAGTAAAATGGCAGAGCCCAGAATAAACCCAGCTAGATTTTCTAACTACAGGTACCATTCATTATTGAAAGAAAACCATATGTAAAGGATGTCATATGTGAAAACAGTTTCATATATGGTGATATTAATACTTACTATAGAACATGCTGAGCAGTTGGTGCTACTTTAAATAGAGTAGGCACTAAAATTGTTTAACAAAAGTAAATGTTGAATTGAATAAAATCAACTACCATTATGATTCTGAGATTGAACAAAAATTTGTTTACTTACTTTGTGCCAGATGACATGAGTACAAATAGGTCAGTGTCCATCTCCCCAAGAAATTTATTCTTTAATGGAGAATTAGTTTATAAATTTGGTATCCGTTTTACTTCAAGGTTTAAACAGGCGCTAGGATCAAGTGACAAAGACTTTGGGATCTGGAGTGGTGGTACCTATTATAGAGCAACAGCTTTTAGAGAATTTAAGGGAAAATGTCTCTGTTTATAACTGTGTGTGTGCGTGTGTGTAAATTACCCTAGATATTTTCTTAAATGAATTTAAAGTATTAGTAATACTGTAAAATGTGTAATAATCTGTATTCATGTAGTGCTTTTAAACATTTTTAATACTTCACCATATATAGATTTATAGTAATAATGTTATAATTGTGAACTTTTTGTTTTTAGAACATCATAGGATCAAGTCCTGTTGCAGATTTCTCTGCTATTAAGGAGCTAGATACCCTTAACAATGAAATAGTTGACCTACAGAGGTATGTAAAGTAAAATTACAACTGACTATGTAGATATACACACACACACACACACTCTTCTGTTTTTAATATGTATCTTGGTAAATGCTACTTTATTTAAGTACCATGGTTCTTGAATTGGGAATACATGAACGCTGTTGCTTTTTTTTTTCCAGTGTAACCTATCAAATCTAAGGCAACCCTTTAATTGCAGGATGCACTATTTTCTTATGTACCACTAAACTAAAAATCACTGCCAAATAAACAGTGGCATCAGCTATAAATACTATCTGACTTTAGGCAGTGAAAAATGTGTATCTTAGAATGAATAGAATACAGTTTTCCTCCAGCTTTAGATATTTGAATAGTATATTAGAAAAACATTATTTAATACATTTTATGGAAGGAGTGTTAAATGCATATACCATGCCGAGAGCTTTCATAACTGTTACCTCATTTGCTTCTCACAGAAACCTTATGACTTGAGTTAGATTTTATTGTTCCTCGTTTACAGTTAAGGAGTTCAGGTGCTTAGAGAGTTATTTTGCCCAGTCATACAAACCTGTCAGCAGTAGAACTAATAATACCTGATCTCAGGACTACTTGATTTGGAGTTGTCTTCTCTCTTATACATAGGTACTATGTAGAATGGACTTAAATATAATTGGATTTGAATCTAAATACAGCAGGCACTATTGATATTTACTAGAAACTTTATATTAATACTATAAAAGTGACCTCCTGAAATTACTTTTTTAAAAATGAGACCATTTTTCCATCTACAAGGCATTGGGTTTAAATATCATTTTGTATTTACAGAAACCTTTTTCTGTTTTTAACCTTCATAACACTTTGAAGCAGATAATGGCTGATTATTTTATTGATGGTACTGAGACATAAGGGGGTTGTTGAATGATTTATCTGGGCCATATGGCAAGAAATAGGGAATGATCTTTCCTCATTCATGAGGCTACATTAAAATTGCTATAGAGAAACTTAGTTATTACGATTTTTCAGTTGCAAGAAAGAATTCAACCCAAGCTAATTCAACCCAAGCTAATTTAAGTGAGAGTGAATTTATTAACTTCTGAAATTAAGATCTCTCAGAGGTAGAGATGGCTTAAGGAATAACTTCATACTGGGGTCCAAATGATATAATCTGTTTTCTTGCTCTATTTATTGTCTCCACTTCCACTGGGTTGTTCCAGTCTCAGATGGAATTTCCCATTATATTGTCAAAAGGGCTATAGCACACCTAGCCTTGTGTATTTGTATTTCAGATCTAGTGGATCCACTAGATCTTTTCTGGCAGTTCCTGTAAAATCCCTAAGATTCCATGTGATTATACTCGCTTAGAGCCATGACTGTCCCTGAAACAGGGGCCAGGGATGTATAGTTTATTGATTTGCCATGAACTCTGTCATGGGAGTGGTGGGAGGGTAGTTTGTTACTAGGACCACATAAGAGGAGTGAGTATCCTGACATGAAAATTCTGCCAGAAGGAGGCGTGGATTCTGGGGAGGTAAATGTCTACTGAAGGCAGCATAGCTTCAAATACACAGTAATTTCTTTTTTTTTTTTTTTTATTAACATATAATGTATTATTTGTTTCAGGGGTACAGGTCTGTTATTCATCAGTCTTACACAATTCACAGCGCTCACCATAGCACATACCCTCCCCAGTGTCCATCACCTAGCCACCCCATCCCTTCCACCACCCTCCACTCTAGCAACCCTCAGTTCGTTTCCTGAGATTAAGAGTCTCTTATGGTTTGTCTGCCTCTCTGGCTTCGTCTTGTTTCATTTTTCCCTCCCTTCCCCTATGATCCTCTGTCTTGTTTCTCAAATTCCTCATATCAGTGAGATCATATGATACTTGTCTTTCTCTGATTGGCTTATTTTGCTTAGTTCCATCCACATCATTGCAAATGGCAAGATTTCAATTTTTTGATGGCTGCATAATATTCCATTGTATATATATATACACAGCATCTTCTTTATCCCTTCATCTGTTGATGGACATCTAGGCTCTTTCCATAGTTTGGCTATTGTGGACATTGCTGCTATAAACATTGGGGTACAGGTGCCCCTTTGGATCCCTACATTTGTATCTTTGGGGTAAATACCTAGCAGTGCAATTGCTGGGTTGTAGGGTAGCTCTATTTTCAACTTTTTGAGGAACCTCCATACTGTCTTCCAGAGTGGCTGCACCAGCTTGCATTCCCACCAACAGTGTAGGAGGGTTCCCCTTTCTGTGCATCCTTGCCAACATCTGTCATTTCCTGACTTGTTAATTTTAGCCATTCTGACTGGCGTGAGGTGGTATCTTATTGAGGATTTGATTTGGATTTCCCTGATGCCGAGTGATGTTGAGCACTTTTTCATGTGTCTGTTGGCCATTTGGATGTCTTCTTTGCAGAAATGTCTGTTCATGTCTTCTGCCCATTTCTTGATTGGATTATTTGTTCTTTAGGTGTTGAGTTTGATAGTTCTTTATAGATTTTGGATACTAGACCTTTATCTGATATGTCATTTGCAAATATCTTCTCTCATTCTGTCGGCTGTCTTTTGGTTTTGTTGACTGTTTCTTTGCTGTGCAAAGCTTTTTATCCTGATGAAGTCCTAATAGTTCATTTTTGCCCTTGCTTCCCTTGCCTTTGGCAACGTTTTAGGAAGAAGTTGCTGCGGCTGAGGTCGAAGAGGTTGCCGCCTGTGTTCCCCTCAAGGATTTTGATGGATTTCTGTCTCACATTTAGGTCTTTCATACATTTTGAGTCTATTTTTGTGTGTTATGTAAGGAAATGGTCCAGTTTCACTCTTCTGCATGTGGCTGTCCAATTTTCCCAACACCATTTGTTGAAGAGACGGTCTTTTTTCCATTGGACATTCTTTCCTGCTTTGTTGAAGATTAGTTGACCATAGAGTTGAGGGTCCATTTCTGGGCTCTCTGTTCTGTTCCCTTGATCTGTGTGTCTGTTTTTATGCCAGTACCATACTGTCTTGATGCTGACAGCTTTGTAATAGAGCTTGAAGTCCGGAATTGTGATGCCACCAGTTTTGCTTTTCTTTTTCAACATTCCTCTGGCTATTCGGGGTCTTTTCTGGTTCCATACAAATTTTAGGATTATTTATTCCATTTCTTTGGAAAAAGTGGATGGTATTTTGATAGGGATTGCATTAAATGTGTAGATTGCTCTAGGTAGCATAGACATCTTCACAATATTTGTTCTTCCAATCCATGAGCATGGAACGTTTTTCCATTTCTTTGTGTCTTCCTCAATTTCTTTCATGAGGATTTTATAGTTTTCTGAGTACAGATCCTTTGCCTCTTTGGTTAGATTTATTCCTAAGTATCTTATGGTTTTGGGTCCAATTGTAAGTAGGATTGACTCCTTAATTTCTCTTTCTTCTGTCTTGCTGTTGGTGTATAGAAATGCAGCTGATTTCTGTGCATTGATTTTATGTCCTGCCGCTTTACTGAATTCCTGTATGAGTTCTAGCAGTTTTGGGGTGGAGTCTTTTGGGTTTTCCACATAAAGTATCATATCATCTTCAAAAAGTGAGAGTTCACTTCTTTGCTGCAAATCCACAGTAATTTCAGTGATTAGCCTTAGTATCATCTATCTCTTTGAACAATATGACTTGACATTCTATAAATGTAAGTCTGGGCACAGTGTCATTGTGTAGTTTTTTTGTTTGTGTTTTCTTTTTTGTTGTTTTTGTTTTTAATTTTTTGTTTTATTTAGTTTTGAGGTTATCTGCCTTTTAAGTTCTGTCATATTCTTATTTCCTGCTCAAAAATTGGCCTTTGTCTATTTACATAAAGCCTCTACTCTTGGCATCACAGAAAGTAAAAAACAAAAACAGAAACAAAACTCTTGGGGATTATATAGTCCAATTTTTTCCTTACTCATGAAAAAAACTCAGTCACACATCAAGTTGGCAACAGTGCTGGGTGGCACCCCAAATCCAGTTGTGTTAAGTTATAGTTCTGCATTCTTTCTATTATATATCTGCCTCTCATTAAGATTTAAAGATTTTTTACTTTGGTTCAGAACAGAAGAAGTAAACATTCCATTATTGAGTCTATAATGGTGTGTAGACTTTTCATATGGTCTATATATGGTCTATTAACGTTTTTGCTTGCCTTATGTGTAATATACATTGAATAATAGCTAGATTTGAAAATACTTGTCTTCTGTGCCTCTCGCAGATATGCCCCAATATTCTAGGACTTGCTTGACTTCCAACAGTAATTAACATATGAAATGTTTTTGGAGTGAGCTTTAATAGGAAATAGAGCATCATACATAAAGTGTTCTTACCAGTGCACATATTTCTAATATTAGTTACATTTTGATAAACTGAGCTTTCACTAACTTCTAATAACCATAATGTTAAGTTATACTAGTGACAGTCTTCTACAGTGAATCACAACTAAAACATAAAAACATATCTAACATTTTGTGACTGTCTTATTAAGAAAATCATACAGCTCCAAAACCTTGTTAGGTTTTAGGTTGTAGTCATATTGTATAAATGTGTAAAACACTTACACATGATTTGGCATTTGTGAAAATATTTTCGCTAGGCTTTTATTTTAGATGAGATCTACAGTGTAGGCAAACTTCTATCATCTGTCAACCCCAGTAATATCATAATGAGACTCATCAACCCATGCTAAAATTATGGTTGTTAAAATTCACTTTTGTAAATGGTTGTGTTAGGTCCCTATATCACCAACTCTTCAAGATACTACATTATAAACCTTGGTTTTTGTTATTGTGAATAATAATTTTTCTGTGCCATAGTATTACACTTCAGCCTTTGAATTGTTTATTAATATATCAGGATGTAATAAGTATAACTATGAAACAGGAAAAAAGAATTTAAACAGATTTTGCTTATGGCTTTTACTAAATTGCTATCTGACAAAAGATTAGCCCCCCACCCTTAAAGATTTTATTTATTTATTTGCTAAAGAGAGAGAGAAAGAGGGAGAGAATAAGCAGGGGGAGCCG